TGTAACCCTCACCCAAAGATATTTTTCCCATTGAATTTTCAGAGAGAGTAGGAGCAAGGGAGAGAAACGTTGATGTGAGAGAAACATGGATCACATGCGCCCCAGCCAGGGTCGGATATTGAACCTGCAACCCATTTACATGCCCTTGACTGGGAATGGAACCCTCAGTCAACCCTTCAGTGTTCAGATCAATGCTCTAACCATTGAGCACACCAGCCAGGGCTTAGCTCCCTTTCTTAAAGCATGTTAGGCTTGGTGATTGTAGGAAGCAGAAACCACTTACCACCCAAATAGTTTGTGAAGGGAACCTTCTCCCGGTGGGCGCTAGACAGGACCTGGCGGTTTCTGCTCCGGCCTCCTGGCCATGGAGCCCTCCGTGGACGATGGCTCCTCAGCCCGACTGCGACTGGGCCTCTCGCGGCTGGCCAGCTGAGTCCTCCGCTCTGACGGTGGCGTGGAGCGTGGCGTTGAGCTCTGACACTCACTGTGGGACCGGCTGTCTCCCCTTCAGTTCTGTCCGTGCTTGGACCCCAGAGCTGGCAGTTCTGCCATCTGGTGCGTGCGTACACAGCGAAGATGCCTGTGTCTTGTGAGTTGTCATTATGTAATGTCTCTTTACCTGCTAATTTTCTTGACCCTGCAGTTTATTTTATCTGACATTCTGATGTCAGCTCTGATGTCAATCTGTCTTTTAATTGGTGTGTTTAGACTGTCTCCATTTAATGTAATTATACAGGGTGGGGCAGAAGTAGGTTTACAGTTGTGAGCACGTAAAACAGTTTATTCCTGTATTTTATTATTTATTATCTTCCACACAAATAACTGTAGACCTATTTTTGCCCCACCCTGTTAGGGCTTACGTCAGCCATTTTACTTTTGTTTTCTGTTTGCTTTTTTCCTGCCTTCAAGTGCCTAACTTGAACATTTTTTTAGGATGTCATTTTGATTTATTTGTAGTGTTTGTTTGCTTTTAATCCTCATTTGAGGGGGTGAGCATATTTTTTCCATTGATTTTTAAAATATTTATTGATTTCAGCGAGGAAGGGAGAGGGAGAAATAGAAATATCAATGATGAGAGAGAATCATTGATTGGCTGCCTCTTGCATGCCCCCAACTGGGGATCGAGCCCACAAACCAGGCATGTGCCCTTGACCGGAATTGAACCTGGGACCCTTCAGCCCGCAGCCCAGTGCTCCAACCACTGAGCCAAACCAGCTAGGGCTCCATTGATTTTTAGAGAGTGGAAGGGAGGTGGAGAGAAATATCCATGTTAGAGAGACACATCAATTGGTTGCCTCCCACAGGTGTCCCAACTGGGGATAGGGATTAAATCTGCAAGACAGGTGCATGCCTTTGGGTATCGAACCCATGACCCTCCAACACACAGACCAACACGCTAACCACTGAGGCATGCTGGCCAGGGCTCTCTGTAGTGTTTTTGAGTGTCTGCTTGTTTAGCCAGCTTTTAGTGGTTGCTCTAGATGTTGCATTGTGTATACACAGAACTCACCAGTCTGCTGGTGTCCACACTTACAGTTGGAAGTGTATTATAGAAGCCTCACCTCCCTTTCTGTCCCTTTCCCCTCCCCCATTCTGATATAACTGCATGTTGAGAAGCACATTAGACAGTGTTACAAGTTTTTTTTCAAATGTAATTTAGAAAACTCAAGAGAAGGAAAATCAATTGAATGTACCCTTATTTTTATTCTTTACAATGTTCTTCCTTCCTTCCTGATGTTCCGAGAGCCCTGCTTTTATTATTTCCCTTCTGCTTAGAGAACTTCCTATAGGCAGTCTGTAGCGGTCAGCTGTCAATAATGTTTTTGATTTTCCTTCATCTGGCCATGGCTTAACTTCCCTTTTATTACTGAAGGATGTCTTCCCTGGATGTACAGGGTGCCCCTCAAAATGTGCACACGCACTTTGAATAAACAAAGGCAGTGTTCATTAAAATACATTTCATTTTCAAAATTGAACTGTCAGCTGTTGGTGTATACATTTTTTGGGACACCCTGTATATAACCATTCTTTTCTTTTAGCACTTGAAAAATGTTAGCTACTTCCTTGGTTTCTAATGAGAAATCTATCATCCAAAATTTTTTTTCCTATAGAAAAGGTATTGTTTCTTTGTGCTTTCAATATTTTTTCTTAGATCTAAAATAAATACATCTCAATGAGAATAGAGGTTCTTTAAGAGGTCTGTTATCTAACCCAATTTAATCTAATCTTATCTGAAGGTAAGAAAATACTATTACTCAGACATGTAAACATACAAACAGGCCTTACAGCTTTGCCTCTAGAATTTCACCATATGTGAAGAACACACAGAAAAACAAACTCTGGTTTGAACATTTCAATGAGCCGTTTGTTCTCTTCCCAGTGGGTCTGAATGCTTAACTGACTGAGCTCACAGAGCCCAAACAGAAGCGCTGCAAGCTCGATGCTCTGGTCTTTGGCCAACAGCAGCACCACCTCTGTCCCTCCTCCACGGCTCCCTCGCCCTGTGTGTGTGTCCTGTCAGTCACGTGGCTGCTCGGGACAGCAAGGGCGTTTGTGAATATGAGTTTTTCTAGCTTTTGCCTTGGGAAGATGGTTTATAATGTAAGAGAGGGCCAAAGCGAAGGGCCCAAATGACGTGGGAGAATGTTGGGAAGCCAGATCCTCTGCACACCCTCTGGGTTCGTGATCACCTCTCGTTCCTCGCTGGTCAGGGGAAACCTCCTCAGGGGCGGGGGGCAGATCTCATCTCTCCCCCACTCCCTCTGTCCGAGACTCCATTCTCCACTGTGTCCGATGTGACTTCCCCTGCTCCTGTGCCAGCGGAAGCTTAATCAGGCCCGACTGGGGTCAAGGAGCCTGCGGACTGCCTGGAACTGCCAGCATTGTTTGCACACACCACGCCAGGCTTTTCTGGAGAGCACCAGACCGGCTCCTTGTCCCAGTTCTTGAGAGCTTGTTTGGGGGTTCTAGCAGGGGAGCGCAGTGACTCCTACACCCTTGACCGAAGACCGGTCCTCTCCGCTGGGGGGAAGGTCATCCTCTTCAACCGAGTTCGCAGCTTCTGGAGGGTCGCACATGGATGGGGGGGGGGGGGGGGTAATCCCCCTCGCCATCCAGAGCAGCCACATCAACCCTGGCGATCACTGGGTGACATGTCGCAGCCAGATCGCTCTGACATCCGTGGTCCCAGTTCTTGAATGCAGCTGAACTCAACTGTTTCCTGAAAATTCCGGAGTGATTCAAATTTCCTACTGGGCAAGCCTTCCTGCCCTTATCACAAACCAGAGGCCTGCCCTCCGGCTGGGACGGAGCCCTTCACCTCCCAGGGAGAGGAAGCTCAGGCTGTGAGCTCCTGGCCCTCAGGCTGTTCCCATCCCAAAGTGAGGAGCAGAGGCGCTGGCCCCAAAGATCAGGACCCTTGTGTGGGTCGTGGGGGCTGTTATGCCGTCTGTTTGGTGGCCCCAGCCCGGCACAAGGTCCACTGAGTCCTCAGTCACTGCCGACGTGGCGGCAGCCGGCTCAGCCCCACCCCATCCGCCCGGGGGCCTTCGTGGTGACTATCCAGTCGTGGCGGCTGACCACGTCTAGCTTGTACCGCAGGAGGGTGGCTTATCGTGTCAGCTAGAGTGGCTCTGCCGCCGGGGACTGGCTGGCGCCCTGTTCACCACGGGCACTGGACGGCTGGTGGCCGAGTGGCAGGCAGCAAACATTGCGTCAGCCGGCTTACACTCAAAGAGGGGCTCCTGGCGAAGGCTCTGGGGATGCTTCAGACTCCAGGGAAGGTTTGGGGCGCCCAGGACATGCATGTCTCCTGGACGGACCATCGCCGTAACCGACTCCGCTTCGTGAGCCGTTAGGTCATGCGGCCCGACGGCTAGGGTGTGCCGGACCTTCCTGGAGGTGGCCGTGAGCTTCGGTCAACAGTCACAAGCGTGTGCGATCACCACGACCAAGGCTCGGGCGTCTGCGTGTGAAGGGGAGCATAGCTCAAGTCTACAGCGCAGTGCCTTAAGTTCCAGAGCTCAGGGCTGTTTACCCTTTTGTGAATGAGGTCAGTCCCTTCTCCGGGATTGTGGGGAGGAAATCCTGCAGAGCGGAGCTCGGAGGTTTTTGAGGCAGCGTGCTCACATTTAGCCCGGGGCTCTTCTGACACCCCAGCAAGGCACAGTGCTGTGCCAGCTCCAAGCGGATAGGCGTAATCCCCAGAACGGCCTCCAGAGGGCGCCGCTACCACAGCTCTGAGAAGCCTGTACCCAAGCACCGCCGCCAGTGGACGCCAGAAGAGGCTGCTGTGGCTTTGCAGATGGAGGGGACCCTGCACACACCCCTCCTTCCCGGGGATTTGACCCAGCACCCCCCTTTCTCAACCACTGAGACTCCAAAGGCTTGGAGAGGCAGGCATTACATGGGTATGTGCGGGAGCTCGAGCTCACGCAGCTACTCACAGGTACCTGGGCTGGCACCTGGCAGCTCCCAGGAGGGGGCGGAGAACTGGGACATTACCCCCTGCAGAGCCTGAGAGTGTTCCCAACAGCCGGGCCCATACCCCGCTCTTCCCCCCACCAGCTTCCCCATCGCCATCCCCAGCTTGGAGGGCTGGTGCCTCACTGTGCCATCTGAGCTACTTGAGGTGGAGGCTGGCAGGATGGCCTTCAGCCCTGGCAGCCATTCCCTGCTGCCAGCACGTTGTGTGTGTGCCCTGTCGGATTTGCCGTACTCAGTGGTCTTGTGTTCCTGGCTTTCTCACCTGGTACCTAAGGGGTGGTCACACTAGCTGCCCCTCCCAAGGTCTGAGGTTGTAAGCACTCCCACCCCCGAGGGCAGGGTGAGTCCCCGGGGAGCTAGGAAAGGTCACCAATCTGAGGCCAGAAGTCAGGAATCTGCTCCCCGGTGTCCACCTCCCTGCCCGAGAGGGGCTCTGCCTTCCACCGGCAGCCGCACCCACATACGTCCCTGCCTCACAGCCCTGGAGCAGTCACGCCACGTACACCTCAGGGCAGTGGGTTCACACGGGCATTTTATTGGATTTTCTGTGGGCATTTGGATGCCTCAAGCTACTAGCTGGCTTCTCAGCCCCTCACCCCATTCTTGGCCTCTGCTCTGGGGTCCAGAGGGTGCTGCCAGCCCTGCCCTGTGCCAGCTTCTCCTAAGGCCTTCCTATAACTGGACCCCCACTCCCCACTGCCACCCTCTGGGCCAGGCCGCCCCCACGGCTGGGCCTGTTCTTGCACTGGGCACAGCCAGCTCTCCTGAGGAATGGGCCGGGAGCCCGCTGGCACCTCGGGCTGCATCAGGCTCCACAGCGCAGTGCAGAGCGTGGGCCCCAGCCTACAGCTTGGTATTAAGGTGGAAAGAGAAGGGGGGTGCTGCATAGGTGGTGGCAGGTGGCACCTGCCAGGCAGATGAGGCGGGGCAATGTCTGTGGCGGAGGGCACTGTCGAAGGGGGCAGGGGAGAAGTGCATGAGGCCAGCGGCCACAGGCGAGGGGGCCGCAGTGGCCAGGAAGTGAGCCGGGAAGGCTGGGATGACCAGGGGGCTGAAGGGGAACGTAGCCTGGCCCTTTAAGGGGTCCGGGGTGCCGGTGAAGTTCAGTGGGCAGCGCATCATGGTGCCCCTGTAGGCCTCCGGGAGGGCAGGCCCCAGGGCTGGGCCCAGCACGCAGGAGACGGCCACGCCAGGCCCCACAGACGTGGCCCCACACTCCTTGGCATCCGCCTCCTTGAGAAAGGGAGGCACTGCCTGCAGTTTTTTGCCGCCAGGGACAAAGCCCTCTTCCTCCCGGCCGCGCTTGCTGCGGCCTGGGCTGCCAGGGACGGCGGGCAGGGGCGCGGGGCTCTCGGCAGGCACCTTGGCCATGGGGGACACCCAGCAGGCTTTGGGCCTGGCGCAGAGGCTGCCTCTTCGGGAGCCGCCTCTGTGGAACGCGGAGGGGCGGTTGACGTCCCCGCCCCACACCAGCGCCGACTCTTTGACTGGCAGCCTCTCCTCTTTGCCAGGGGGCCCCCAGAGCACCCCCTCTCTGAGATGGGGAAAGAAGTCCCGGGGGTGCTGGCTGATGGGCTTGAGCACCTTGGTGGGGTAGGTGTGGCAACAGCCGGTGAAGGTGGGGGCCGGCGGGTGGGGGCCGGCCTGAGCCTCCTCCCTGAGGCTGCCCCCGGGGCCCTGTGCTCCCTCCGGGGCGGCCAGCTGGTGCCTGTGGGTCTCGGGTGGCCCTCCTGGGCTCCGGGGACTCTCGGGGGGGTGAGCAGCGGGGGACGCCCGGGGCTCCCCGGCAGGGCTGCCCGCCCCGTGGCGACAGCGCTCCGCCTGGCACTGCAAGGCCTCCGCCTTGCTCACCTGGGCCAGCAGCTTCTTTTTGGCCAGCGGCGACATGACGCCGTGTGTCTCTTTGCAGTAAAAGCTGGACAGGAGCCGCTGGTAGGCCTCAGGGCAGCCGCCGGCACCCGCGAAGGGCAGAGCGGGCCCGGGAGCCGGGCCTGGCTGCTCGGCTCTGTCCTGTGCTGGCTCCTGGCTGGGGGGCCTCGCCAGGTCGACGGGGTCCATCTTGGTCTTTCCAGGCGTCATCTGAAAGGAGAAAAGGGAGGCCTCAGGCTGGGCGGGAGCCATGCATCCTGCTGGGGGAGGTGCCGGCAGGCAGGTACCCAGCAGCCTCTGTGCACCGCTTTGTTGTTCTGCTAACCTTCACCTGCGGCTATTTTCCTACTGATTTTCAGAGAGAAGGGAACGGGAGAGACACATGAACTGGTTGCCTCCCGCAGGCGCCCCAACCAGGGCCGGGAACTGAGCCTGCAACTGAGGTGCGTGCCTTTGTCCGGAACCAACCCTGAGCCCCTCCGCTCGGTGGGCTGACCCTCCGCTCGGTGGGCTGACCCTCCGCTCGGTGGGCTGACCCTCCGCTCGGTGGGCTGACCCTCCACTCACTGACTCAGACCGGCCAGGGCTCTTACGATGTTTTCAGAAGGTGCCGGGTCTGAGTGGACGCAGCCGGTGTCGGGACACAGGGCCCGGAGTGGACTTCGGAGCCAGACCCCACAGCCTCAAACAGAGAACTCACACCAACGGATGCGGTCCTGGGCGGAGCTGTGCGGCCGTGCAGTGAGGACGGGGGTGTGTGCGGGGGGGCGGGGGCCCTGGCTCACCTGCTGGCCCTGGGGCTCGGGGCTCACCTGGCCCAGCTGCCCCTCCTTGGCCTTCAGCCTCTCGGTGGCCCCGTCGTCCCCTCGGGGCTCCTTGGCCATCTTGTATTGCTTCCTGGGCTTGGAGGGGGGCAGCGGCTTGTCGTCCTCCCCCTTCAGGTGCCGCACGTACGGGAGGACCAGCCTGTGGAGGGGCGGCACGTCCACCAGGAGGCCAGCCCCACGCACCCGTTCCCCCTGCCTGCCCAGAGCCAGCAGCTGGGCGCACGCCCGTCCACGGTGTGTCCCCACACCCCTCCCGCACCCCGGAGGGCAGCAGGCCCCGCCCACGGTGTGTCCCCAGGCCCCTCCCGCACCCCGGAGGGCAGCAGGCCCCGCCCACGGTGTGTCCCCAGGCGCCCCTCCCGCACCCCGGAGGGCAGCAGGCCCCGTCCACGGTGTGTCCCCACACCCCTCCCGCACCCCGGAGGGCAGCAGGCCCCGCCCACGGTGTGTCCCCAGGCCCCTCCCGCACCCCGGAGGACAGCAGGCCCCGCCCACGGTGTGTCCCCAGGCCCCTCCCGCACCCCGGAGGGCAGCAGGCCCCGCCCACGGTGTGTCCCCAGGCCCCTCCCGCACCCCGGAGGGCAGCAGGCCCCGCCCACGGTGTGTCCCCATACCCCGCACCCCGGAGGGCAGCAGGCCCCGCCGCACCTCTCGTAGTGGCGCCGAGTGCACGTGGCCGCGCTGGTGCTGCCCGGGCTGCCCCCCAGCTCGTCGTACACGTTCTTCCAGAGGCGGCGGCCGGTCACCTGCAAGGGCACCGGGTTGGCGGGTGCCCGCTAGCAGGGGGCCGGGTTGGGGGGAGGCTGTTGCAGGGGCTCACCTGGCGGCAGGCCAGCACCCATCCCCCGCCCCGGCCACCGGCCTGCTGGCCAAGCAGCTTTCCGAGCCCGGGAAGGCAGAACAGATGGGCAAAGAGGAAACTTGCTTTGAGCAGCAAAGTGCCAGCGGGCACGGCGAGCCCTCTCCCTCCCTCTGCAGGCAGGGGCGCCGGGGAGGGGCCGGCCCCGGCCCTGCCTCCCCCCACCTGGAGGCAAGGGCACCCCACTGGGCTCGTCCTCTCTCCCAGCTGGCCAGCCCGCCGAGCACTCAGAGGGCCCTTCCTTACCATCTCGTAGGCCCCCAGCTTCTCCACGGCCTTGTAGATCTTCCACAGGTTAACTGGGAGGAGACAGGGCAGGGCTGTCAGTCTCTGCCCAGGAGGGTCAGGCAGGCAGAGCCAGGCCACTGCGATGGACAGCAGCTGGGTGGGCCCGGGAGCTGCTGCCAAGCGGCCGGTGAGGGTGGAGATCCAGGCCCGCCCACGGCCAGCCCAGCACCGGGAAGGGGGTACCCTCTGTGTCACCCTGTGGGCTGGTAGTGCCAGGGTCACCAGCATGGAGGTGCCTGCCCAGCGCCCTGCCTAGCTGGGGTCCCCTACCGGCCCGCCCGCCCTGCCTGCACCCAGGGACGCACTCTGCTTGAAGCCAAGATGGGGCACCCTCTCGATGGGCGTGTGTCGCTCCTTCATGAACTTGTAGAGGCTGACCAGGAAGGCCTGCTCCTCCTCCCGCTCCCCGCCTGCCTCGGGGGAGTCCTGGGGAAAGAGCAGGAGGCACAGGGATCAGCCCGGGGGGCGGCTGGGCGCAGGCTGAACCCCTGGGCCCCAACCCAGGCCCACAGGAGGAGCAGGCCCTAGCGCCAGCCTCGTGCTCGGGCCGGATGATGTTCTGGTGCCAGAAAGATGCTGCTGCCCCCAACCCAGGCCCGGTCCACGGAGGCTGGCTCCCGAGCTGGCCGTAGCCTCGCACCTTCTCCAGGCCTCTCTCCGGGCACAGGTCACCTCTGTCCTTTTTAAAACCAGGTATTTTTATTGATTTCAGAGAGGAAAGGAGGAGAGAGATAGAAACATCAATGATGAGAGGGAATCATGGATCAGCGGCCTCCTGCATGCCCAGCACTGGGATTAAGCCCACAACCTGTCATGGGCTCTGACTTGGAATCTAACCGTGACCTCCTGGTTCATAGGTCGATGCTCAACCACTGAGCCACGCTGGCCAGGCCAGATCACCTCTCTACTTGGCTCTAGCTCGGTTACATCTACGTCTCCGCTCCTCTACCAGACTAAGCTCCTGGAGGCAGGCTTGTGTCCATAGGTCCCCAAATGGCCCCAGGGGTCACAGCTGAAGGAGCGACTGGAGCATCATCACGCACACCAAAAAGATGTGCATACAGGAGGCAGCAGCTTAATGCTTCCCCCCAGCCTCCTTTCTCTAAAATCAATAAACATAAAAGGTAAAGGAACAAAGGTGCTATGCTTCCCGGCACTGGGGCTCCTGTGCCCCGCCAGCCTCTGCCGTGTGGTGCCTCCTCCCTGACCCCCAGTCTGTGAGCTCAGGGCGGAGGAGCCGGTCCTGGGTTCCTGCATCTGTCGGACGCTCAGGACCGTTGGCGTCTGCTCTCAGAGGTGAGTTTCTGCTGGCTGTGCCTCTGGCTAGTGGCTCAGGGGGGGCGGCTGGGCTGGGGCTCAGGGAACAGCTCCCAGGCCATGGGTCCCCAAATACCAGAGAGCCATGCATTCCCCAGACACTTCAGGTCATTTCCGTGTTCTCGATAAAAACATGCAACGATAAAAACACTCAAACTCACGAGTTGCCTCGGAAACTAACATACTGGACCCAGAGGCTCTGGGTGGCGCTGCCCCAGAAAGAAGCCGTCACGTGTGCTGTGCTCCTCTGAACTCTGCGCGGCCGTTACCCCGGGGGGCACCTCCGAGCCCCGCTGGCCCTCACCGCCCTGACCTCACCGCGACGCCGTGCACGTCACACGTGTGGCGCTCGGGCGGGGTAAATGCAGTTTACATCGCAGGACGGTGCTTTTATCTGCCTCTGGTCAGAGCTCCAGGCAAGCTGTCCGACACAGGCTTCCGCCATGAAAACAGTCCAACCCGCCCTGGGGAGGGGAGCCCTCCTGCCGCCTGGCTCGCCGCCCAGGGCACTGGGGTGGGGACATCTCCTCCCCAGAGCGGGTCTCCAAGCTCCCGGAAAGGCTGGGGACTAACTCACCTCCAGCCGGGCCGGACTCTGGCTCCCGCTCTGCTCACTGTCGGGCGGAGGGGACACGGGTGTGTCTAGCGGGTCGTCCCCCTCTGACTGTTTCCTTTTCCCTTCGGCAGCAGATGCTGTGAGGAGAGGAAAGGAGGGGGAGAGGACATGAGGTGCAGGCGGTGAGGGCAGGCTCCCTGAGAGGCGCCGGGTCTGAAGGGGCCAGGAGGGGAGGGTCCTCTCCCTCCTTGGTGGACCCTCTGCTCTCCTGGGTTCACCCCCTCAGACACCTGCCACCCGTCCTTCCTCCCCACACCTCCCCACACCCCCCCACACCCCCGAAGGAAGCCTAGCCAGCTGGGACGGCGGCGGAGGCTGGCCGGGCACCGGGAAGCCTGTCTCGGAGGTCTGCCCCACATGCAGGCCGGAGGTCCTCCCAGCAGCTCAGCTGAGCTGCCCCGTTTGTGGGCCCCAAAGCCTCACAGGGTGCTGGGCCCGCAGTCCTCCGGAACAGTCAGGAAAGAGGAAGTTCCCGTTTGTGCCTTTGGTCCTGGCGGCCCCTCAGTTCCCGGATAATCACGTCCTCTCCCCCGGCCCCCCAGCCACGCACAGCCTCCCCCCTGTCCGGCCTCTCACTCCACCACCGTCCCACCTGGCGCCTGCCGGCCGGTGAGGGCAAAGCAGGGGAGCCACGGACCTTCCCTCAGGACAGCCAAGAGCTGACGGTGCAAAACCCCAGCACCCGCCACGGCCAAACACCGCCATGGAAACTGCCCGGACCACGTGGCAGGCTGGCAGCAGACCCGAGACCAGGAAGCCACAGCTTTGACCACCCTTCCTTCCTTTTTTCCCTTTCCCTTTTTCTTTTCGTTACTCTAATATACCGCTCCACAGTCCTGGTCCACTCCGGGGACTGCAGGAACCTGTGGCCAGCACATCTCCTTAACAACGGACCCACACCACATGGGCCCGAGGCCGGCCCCAGGAGCACGTGCGATTAGGACCTTTGGCCACTGGACGCTGTCCCCTCGGCAGCTGTCCGCCCGAGGGCCGCCGCGCCTGTGCCTGCCCTCATTCACGCTGCGTAGGTCCTCGGCTCTGTGGCCCCCGGCTCTCTCATTCAGTCCCAGAAGGAATCCCATTTTAAAGAGGGGAAAGCGGAAGCCGGAGAGGGAAACCAGAATTCAGACAAGGCCTGACTGGCCCCCACCCACCACTGACCTGGCCACCACGGTGGCTGCTGTGGTTGCCACCACCGTCTGCAAAGCCATGAGGAGGAGCCTAGCTAAGCCTGGGAAAGACACCGCCCTAAAGCTTGTCAGGAGACACGGCCATCCCCTGGGGCTGGCTTCTGACCCCCAGAAACAGCCAGCTGCTAACAATGACACCCCACCCTAGCTGGCCAGATGGCTTGGTGGTTGATCCATGAAACAAGAGGTCATGGGTTTGATTCCCGGTCAGGACACCTGCTGGGCTGTGGCTCCATCCCCCCCTACTGGGTGCGCAGGAGGCGGCCGGTCTGTGTTTCTCTCCCATCGCTGTTTCTATCTCTTTATCTCCTTCCCATCCTCTCTCTTTAAAGTCAATAAAAACACGATTAGAAACATTTTAAATGAAGAGGCTCGGCTCCCAGGCAGGCACACACCCAGGTCGCAGGTTTGATCCTCCATCAGGGTTCTTACGGGAGGCAATCAGTTGATGTTTCTCATCACATCGGTGTTTCTCCCTCTTTCCTCTCTAAACATATTCTCGGGTGAGGGTTAATCAACAATAATGACCACCCCGCCCGCCCAGACTGCTAGTGTTCCTCGGGCGACTCTGCCTGTTTCCCTCCCATTCAGGTCCCTCCGAAGTCTCCCTCCCGCCTCTCCTCTCTGCGTCCCCTCCCTTCGGTCCTGCGGGCTCAGATCCTCGGCAGCACAGGCCGCACACCTGGCTTCTCAGAGCCTCCTGCAGCCGGCTCCGTGGCCCCGGCCAGTCGCTGCCCTGGGTGAGGGAGGGCAGTGGGCACAGGGCCGTTGGAATCACCTGGGATGCATTCTAAAGACACCGTGCCTGCCTGCCCACCCCCCCCTGTTCGATTCAAGGTCCTGCGGGGGCATCAGAGTTTAAAGCTCCCCAGGGGCCGGGGTGGGGGCAGCCAGGGTGAGCCCCCTGGCCTGGGATCCCGAGTCCCCTCTTTGGGGCTCAGTGAGTGCTCTGCCTGGGCCACACTCACAAAGACACCTCACCTGGAGGCGGGCGCTCCGGTTACCTGGAAAGGAGGTCACCAACCCGAGCTGCTCAACCCCGGGCGGCACAGGGACAGAGCGCGTGCCGAGAGCCACAAAGGGACTCTTTGCCTCTGTGTCCAGCTGAGTCCCCACGTGAACTCAGCCTCCATTCTCCCCCCACCCGGGCCCGCTGTGGGGCCACAGCCTGGGATGGTGGAGGGTGCCTGGCCCTGGCCGACACCTAATCACTTCCTTCCCAGCCATTAGCAGACAGGCTCCAGGAAATCTGCATTTGCAAAAGGGTTCTGCTGCAAAAAGTAAGTTAAACTCCCCTGCCACGGTGCTGAGCGAGCCTCCTGCCTGTCCAGCTTCCAGTTCTCAGTGCCCAGTGCAGGGCCCGGGCCTCCCAGCCAATCCCGCCTGCAGAGGCAGAGCCACCTGCCCCCAGGGGCGCTGCCAGGCAGCCCTGCACGGCTGTCTTGCTCTGAGCTCCTAACAGGCACAGACCCCCTCTGAGCCCAGGCTCGATGCCCTATTTAACAGAGGAGACAGACTCAAGGACCAGGGTCCCGCTCCGCCCGGGAATGGTGTTCGGACCTGCTTTTCCCACCGGGGAGCAATAATGACAGCAATGGTGACGGTGGCCTCATGTTCACTTTGAATACATCTGGAATCTATAGGTATGAAAGCGGGACCTAACCATAGTCCTCTCCCCACCCATAAGGTGGTCCCAGGAGTGACTGAGTGACCTTCTTCCCCCAATAATTTGAAATGCCGCTTTTCCCACCATCTAAAGCTTCAGGGAGGACATCTGGGACGGGTTTGGGTTTGTGCTTTCCATGTTGTCCCACTGACTGTGGGATGCTGGGACGGTGCACTGTTGTCATTTCTGTGGCTTGGTGAAACCACTCACTATCCAGAGGGCACGCCCCCGGCATTATCCTTCTGTTTACAGGAGGTTCCATCTGACCCTCAGGGTAATCCTGTCACAGTCCCGTAAGAAAAACTCCACACCCCGGGTTCTGATGGGATTGCATTTAACTCCAGAAACAGCTTTGGGGAGAAGTTGCTCTTCCTTTTCAGGGCCCAGAGGCAGGTCTCCCTTTGGGGCCTCAGGTGGTCCTGGTAAAAGGCCGGGTGTCCTCCCTTTGAAGACGCTGGTGTGAGGAAAGCCCTGATAATCGAGGGTAGGACTTGGCTCACGGCCCCCGGCACCCCTCGCTCCCCCCCTCGCTCCCCGGTGAGCAGAGGACAGAGGGCTGGGCCAGGCGGACTGGCCTCACTGGGCAGGGGACTGGCTGCTCAAGACCCGTCTGCGCTAGGAATCCTCCTCCCGGAACCTCACCTCAGCCGTGCGGAACAGAGGGTGCTCCCTGCAGCCACCCTCCTCCCTCTCCACGCTCTGCGCTCCAGCAGCCGGCGGTGCCCGGGCCGGCCCGGCACTCGGCCTCCTGGCACCTGACCTCACAAATGCTCCAGCCACCAGTGGAGACTTTCCCTTTTTTCAGACACATGCCTAAGGCTCAGAAAGTCAGTAATTTGCCTGGGGCACACAGGGGGGTCCAGAACCAGACACTGAACCCTGAGGTCTGGAGGCTTTTGTTAACAAACTCCTCACCTGTGCTCAGGGGCGCAAAGGTGCCTGCACCCCCTGAGCAGTCTGCAGCCTCGTGGCATCACTGTAATGTGTGACAAGAGCCCGCTGAAATCAGATGAGGTGCAGAGGAGTGACGGGGAGGGCACGCTGCCTCCATACGGGCACATCCTCACCAAGCCAGTCACGGCTCCTGTGTCCTGGTGTCCCCTCCTATCAGTGGCTGTGCTAGATTCTAGAGGCCCACGGTGCTGAGCAGAACAAAGTGAGAAATGAGCGTCCCCACAAACCACAGCTAGCCGTGTGTGAGCTTGTGAGAGCGTGGATATGCGTGTGAGTGTGTGTGTCATGTTCAGTGTGAATATATGAGAATGTGCATATGAGACTGTGTGTATGAATGTGACTATGAGAGTCTATAGTGGATTGTGTGTATGACTGTGTGTACATGTGTAACTATGCAACTGTGTGTGAGAGTGCATGTGTGCATGAGTGTGAGTGTGTACACACCCCCCTCTGTGAGGTGTGAGGTCTGTGTCCTGCTTGCTTCCCATGTTCCAGAGCCGTGTATGGCAGGACCAATGCTCCACAGACATCAGCCCCAGAGACCAGCGCGAGGCCCCTGACCACAGACACCCCTGATGCCTAGAGAGGGCCTGGGCTGTGAAGAGTTCAAGGACACAACCAGTCAGCGCCAGGCCGTGCTACCTCTGCCCACCTCCCCCAGCCCCCCCCAATTCACACTTGTGTGATGGAAGTGACACTTCCTTTCATGAAAAGTCACCTGCTGAGAGCACTGTGTCAACTTGACAATAATGGTACCAGCAGCCCAACAGCCCGCAGACAGGGCCCCTCCCTCCTGAGACGTGTGGCTTGTCAGAGCTTCAGCGGAGCCCATACAGAGGCAGCCTTTGGAGCAGCCAGTCCACGGCGTGTCCTGTGTGGCACTGCTCCAGGGGCGGTTTCTGGGGGGCTGCTCTCAGCCAGCACTGGGGACAGACAGCTGGACATGGACCCGAAGGCGCAGCGTGCAGCTTCTGCCAGAGCCTTGCCTCAGTGTCCAGCTGGGGGCAGGCCTGCCAGCTGCTGGCTCCAGCAAGACAGCCGGGAGAGCATACGAGGGAGGGGTGTGGGGCACGCAATGTGGACCACCCCCCAGGGCCCATCAGGATGGGGTCCCTCTTAGCACCTCTGCCATGTCCTGGGACCCCATTTCAGGACAGGGCTGCATCCCCAGGCCCCCGTCATCCGTCTGGGTGACATCTGATGAGAACAGTTGCAGCTCCAGCTCCAGCCCGTTTCCTGTGCCCGGAGAACCAGAGCGGCCAGCGGCTTGTCAAGTCGTGGCCAAAGGCACAGGCACAGCCTGACCCCGAGGGAGGTGCGGGAACCAGGCGGGAGCGGGCTATCCCAGCCAGCGGGGGGCTCCCACCGTAGACAGGAGACGGGAGAGGGGCAGGTTGGGGGGGGGGGGGAGGGGCTGTCCTCCTCACTGCGGGACCCCGGTGGTCTCCAGGCTAAATCAAAAGGCGGGTGTCTCTCTGAGGCCTTGGGGTGACCTCTGCCACTCCAAGTTCCCAGGGGCGGCTCTGGGGCTCTGCGGGCCGCCATTGCCCACCCCTCCGCGTCCTGCGGGCGCACGGCGGTAAGAAACGTCGCTTCTCCTCCCTCGGACCCGAGACCCTCCCCGCGGCCGACGACTCCGCAAAGGGGCGCGGGCCTGGCCAGCGCGGTGCCTCCGACCGCACCGAGCCCTGGGGGTCTGCAGGGTTGGGGGTGTGGGTGGCGCCCCCGGAACCCGACCCCTCCGGCGGCCTTTCCCCCGGAGACCCGAGGCGGGCGGGCGAGAGGGAGCGGGAGAGGGAGGCGGCGACCCTGGCGCCGCGGGGACGGAGCCCCGGAAAGGAGAGGGGAGAGCCAGCAGGCGGGCGGCGGCGCCGGGGCGGCGGAAAGAGGAACCAGCGATTCTTCAAAGTGCGCCGGGCGGCGAGTTCTTCAAACCCGCGCGCGTCACTTTCAGGAAACGCGGGCGGCGGGCAGCGCCTCGGACCCGAGCCTTTCCCGGCCGCGCGGCGGGTTCTGAGAACTGGGCCGCGGGCGGGGGGCGGGGGCGGGGGCGGGGGGGGCAGAGGGGGCCGGGGGGGCCGGGGGGCAGATGGGAGGGCCGCAGTGGGGCGCGATGGAAGGAGGGGGGCGGGGGCGCGGACACATGGGGTCCCGGCGCGGACGGGGGCGGGGGGCGCGGACAGCTGTCACAACAAATCGCTGAGGCCGCGCGAGCCTGAAACCGCAGCAGGAAGTGGGTGACAGCGCGAGGACAGCGCGGCTCGGCCCGGGACGGCGAGAGGAGTTTCGAGATAAACGGCCGGGAAGCCCCGCCGCCGAACTTTCTGTCTCTCCTTCGGCGGAGCGCGCCGACACCCGCCTCGCTCCCTCCGGCGCCGGGCAGGCTTAGTCCCCGGGCCGGGGGTCCCCGCGCCCCTGCCCCGCTCCGCTCCGCTCCCCGAAGCCGCACCCACGCCGCGAGGCCCGGGCAGACCCGGCGCCGCAGCCCCGCGCTCCCCGCGGCCCCCAGCCCGTCCCCGCGGCCGCGAGCGCCTTACCCATGGCCCGCGAGGTCCGCGGCGCGCCGAGCCCTCCACGCCGGCTCCCGGACCCGCGCTCCGGGCGCACTGGCCGCCCCGCCCCGCCGCTCCGCCCTCCGGGCCCGCCCCTCCGGCCCCGCCCCTCCGCCTCCAACACCGCCCTGACCCCTCCCCTCTCCGACTCTGGTTGGTGGGTCGGAGCCTCCGCGAGGAGCAGGATCCGCCCCCTGATCCCGGAGCACTCTGGGAGTTGTAGTGTGCTCTCCCTCCAGGCTCCTCACCTTACGCAGGACCCAGAATCACTGCTGCCTGCAGAGGCACAGCTGGAGGCCTGGGTGAGTCCTCCGTCAGCAGACCACTGCGGAGTGGGCGGCGTAGCAAAGTGGTGCTGACTGACTTGAACTGGGTCCAGCCCAACATTGAAGTAGAGGTGGTGAGTGTAGCGTGTCCTTGCCAAAGCTATGGGGGGGGGGGGGCCTAGAAATGCCTAGAACAGGAAACCTGCCTTTGGTGGCCAATGTCCACACATGTCTTGAAGACAGAGCGTGTCAGCTACTGTACATGTGCCATGGCCCTTGCTTGGAGAAGGAGGCCAGAGGAGATGCTGAGCCAGCCGAGGAGGGCAACTTGCCTGGCATGTGCAACTGGCCATGTGCACATCACAGAAGAGGAAACTGAGGCTCGGGTCTGAGAGCCCTGGTCTTGCAGCACCATCCACAAAAAACAAAAGAGGGAGCAACCCAGGGTCCGCTGATGGGTGAATGGGTAAACTGGAGTATATGCAGACAATGTTACGGAATATTACTCGGTTTTAAAAGGAACACGTATGCTACAACATGAACCTCAAAGACATTATGCTGAGTGAAATAAATGAGACACAGAGGGACAAGTACTGTATGATCCCACTTGTATGAAGTATTACAGACAAATCCATAGAGACAAATAGAATGGTGGCTGCCGGGGCTGGGGAGGGGGAATGGGGCGTTTAATAAGTATAGTTTTAGTTTTGCCAGATGAAAAGTTCTGGAGATAGATAGTGGTGATGGTTGCACAACAATGTGAATGTACTTAATGCCACCGAACTGTACACTTAAAAATGGTTAAAGTGAGCCAAAACCAGTTTGGTTCAGTAGATAGAGCGTCAGCCTGTGGACTGAGGGGTCCCAGGTTCGATTCTGGTCAAGGGCATGTACCTTGGTTGCGGGCACATCCCCAGTGGGGGGTGTGCAGGAGGCAGCTGGTAGGTGTTTCTCTCTCATCGATGTTTCTGACTTTCTATCCCTCTCTCTTCCTCTTTGTAAAAAATCAATAAAATATATCTTTTAGAAGTGGTTAAAGTGGTAAATTTTATGTGATATTTACTTTACCACAATTCTGAAAAAGAGCCTCAGGAGTGGCCAACTAGGACTTGAACTTAGTTCCTAACACAAGCACTCACAATTTTTTGATTAGTTTTGAAACAACAGTTCTGTGCCTTCCACACCATCACTGTCTTTATTTTATAGGGCAAACTGAGGTTCTGGGAGGCTCATCCACTCAGTTGGCACAGCTGGCAAGTGGTGGAGCCTGAGCTGCACCCAGCCATTGGGCTCCAGAAGAGGCCTCCTTACCCACTCCCCTCGGCACCTCTTGGCAGTGCTGTGGAGGGAATCGGGATCATGGCCGGAGGAGGAGAGCATAAGGGGAACCTTGAGCTTTGGTGAGGAAGCGGGGAACCAGTGGGATGTCCAGTTGGTAGCTGGAACTGAGGCCTGGAATACAGGAGCAAGCACAGACTGCAATTACAGATGGCTAAGGAGCCCTCACACCCAGGCACCCACCAACGCTGTTTGCAACTATCTCCGCCCAGCCGTCACCCTATCCAAAGGGCCTGGGCTGCAGGTTGGAGGTCCTGGAGCCCTTGCCTCACTCTCTGGCCCTAGGATGGAGACCTCTCCAGGCTCAGCCCAGAGTGGGTGACAAGGTGGCCTGCTATCTCCAATGGGTTGGCTGGGTTGGTGTGTAAGAGGCAGCACCTGCAGATTTGGTAGCAGAAACATCACTGACGATATTTACTAACTGCCCCAAACAGACATTACAATGGTGATCAAAATAAATAGTGCACCCCACTTCCCCATTTACAAGTTGTCCAAAAGAGCTGAGATTGTGGTGGCAGACACTACGATGAAATGCTATCAGAAAGCTTACCAGACTCCTAGTCCCGCCTTCATCCCTTCTATAAAGATCGATTGCCTGAGGCTGGGGACGGAGACCTGGCTGCCCCCCTCCGGGTCAGTCTTGACCAACTCCTCCCTCTGGATTGGATACCCCTCTCATGAGGAGCTCACTACCTTCCACAGCAGCAGCTCCTCCCACAGGGGATAGTTATTCCGCCATCCAACAGCCAAGCACACGCTTACCCACAGTGACTGTCGTGCAAAGCCTCAGCGAGGGGACACGGTGGTGCCAACCTGGGAACAATACAATTGAAACTTAATTGTCTCCTGAGGAAACTGTTTGCTGAAGAAAGTAATTTACAACAGCCAATAAATCTCCCCTAGGAATGACATCTTCGTTTGCTTCCCTAAAAGCACAAACACTTCCTTGCTTCAGCCACTAACATACCTCTACTTCCTGCCTCCAGCCAGCCTCCAGCACGGGATCCCGCTGGGGAGCAGCTGCCGTGGCCCTTAAGGTCCTGGTGTCTCTCTGTATGTCTCAACACACACACACACAACCACCACACGCCACTAATACATGCATTCTTCCTACAAAAACTTTTAGTCAGTGCTCTCTGGCATCACTCCAAATTCAGTTTCCTCCCTGCCCCAGAGATAAGGACTGTCATCAGATTGGGTGAAATCTTCCAGAATTTCCCCGAGGTGTTTTCATAAATACATGCACCCATGGTGTAGAAAAATATGTAACTTTGTTTTATGAGTACATATTTAAAAATAAGTGATGCCATTCTAATTGTTGCATTCTGCAACTTGCTTTCCCCATCAGTATATTTTGGAGATTCCTCCACTTCAGAACACATCTGCTTCTCGAATGAGACAGGCTGTGTGACTTGGTGTGGTTAGCACAATGTCTTTATTTAATCCCCCTAAAATGGTGCTTAACCTTTTTTTTTTTTTTTTTTTTAATCCTCACTGAAGGACATGTTTTCCATTGATTTTATTTTTTTTACTAATAAATCTTTATTGTTCAGATTATTACAATTGTTTCTCTCCCCCCCATAGCTCCCCTTCACCCAGTTCCCACTCCATCCTCTGCCATTACCTACCCCATCCCCCCCCCAATTGTCCTCATCCATAGGTGTACGAATGTAATATTTTCCCTTTTTACAGACACAATACCTACGGCTCAGAAAGTCTCAGTAACTTGCCTGGGGCACACAGTTTATTAGCAGCACAGGAGGATTCAGATCCAGAGCAGGGAATACCAGGGTGGAGCAAACAGCAATGGCTGACCGTCAGCCCTCCTGGAAGAGGTCCTGTGTCTCTGTGTCCCGCGGCACCGGGCAGGAACAATGATGGCTGCAAGCACCTCTGAGAGAAAGCCGCCCTGGAGTTCCACCCGAGGCCAGGCAGTCCAGTTTCTCCCAGTCTGAGTCTGGTCCCCAGAGTCCTGCCCGGAACTGGAGTTCAGAGCAGTCGGGAGCTTGTGTCTCCCTCCTGATTGAGAAAGACAACCGCGTACTCACTTTCCAGCCCTTCCCATGAGTGAGCCTCTGTACTTCCTTCCGCACTTCACTTCTGCACCTCCTCCTCCTCTGAGTCTGTGTGCTTTTCTCTTTCCTTCTGGCTGTAGAATTTCCACTCAGCCAGCCTTCCCGTGGTTCTGGATGATACCTACTTTGTCTTTTAGTTGTAGTTTTGAAGTGGTTGTGTGAGGCAGCAAGTTCAGGTGTTTACCTATGTCTCCATCTTGGTTTCTGTTCCGTTGATTTTTAGAGAGTGGAAGGGAGAGGGAGAGACGGAAACATCGAAGTGAGAGAGACACATCAATTGATTGCCTTCCACATGGTCTCAACCAGGGCTGGGAGCCTGCAACTGAAGTACCCTTTACCAGAATCAAACCTGGGACCCTTCAGTCTGCAAGCTGATGCTCTATCCACTGAGCAAAACTGGCTAGGGTGGTGCTTAACCTTTCTACAATCACATGAATCATCTGAGAACATTCTGGAACCCATAGAATACTCTCAGGACTCAGGAGCTCACAAAAGGTTCCCAGATTCCAAGCTAAAAACTGCCTTCTCATAACGCCTGTTTCTGAGTCCTAGCACCCCTTGCTGGCTCAGTTCTAAGAAGAAAACCTGGCCTGGGGGGTGGCTCTCAGACCGGGGGGGCTATTCAAGGTCTTCTGCTCCCCTGGCTTCATTTTATTTTATTTTATTTTTTAATATATGTTTTATTGATTTTTTTACAGAGAGGAAGGGAGAGAGATAGAGAGCTAGAAATGTCGATGAGAGAGAAACATCGACCAGCTGCCTCTTGCACACCCCCTACTGGGGATGTGCCCGCAACCCAGGTACATGCCCCTGACCGGAATCGAACCTGGGACCTTTCAGTCGATAGGCCGACGCTCTATCCACTGAGCCAAACCGGTTTCGGCCCCTGGCCTCATTTCAGAGAGGAGGCCACCAGGCCCAGAGATGTTAAGCAAGTTGCCAGAGGTCACACAGCAGGTCCCTGTCAGTGGCTTCTGGGACCCAGTGCATTCAGGAAACAGCACAGTTTTCTGGCTGCCAGTTCTCTGCCTGGGAAACTGTCTCCAGGCTCAGCTGTTGCACAGGCCCCTGGGGCTTTGTTTTCAAAGGAGAAACGAAGCGGGAAGTATTTTTAACTGCTGGCCCGCCTGCTCGGCCGGCTCCCTCACGCTAGCTGTCCAGGAAAGGCCGGCTTCACAGCAGCATTCGCCGCTCATGGAAAACAACAAACGCCCAAAATAGAGATACCCCGCTCAGGAATGGAAAAAATTGGCTCATGGCTCAAATGCCTCTTTTAGCAAAAGCCAAGAATAGTGCGGGGCTGTTGGGGAGCCGCTGGGGGTGAGAGCGTGCAGAGGCGTGGTGCTGGGCTAGGGTTCCA